AAAAAAAATGTACTATTATGTCTTACTACTATTATGTACAACTGTCAATGTAAAAGTGCCTTCACATACAGCAGCATGCTGCGCCAGCAAATCGTCACGTGACTCTAATTCTCTACGACTGATTTCGCTAAGTATATCCGGAAGCAGTCCTAGAAAATTTGAGTCACGCGACGTTTTGCTGCCGCAGCGTGCTGCTGTATGAAAAGATATCTTAAATGACTAATTGTACATATTTATATTGCCGTAATAAATGTGTACTGGTGCTCGTCCTCTTCCTCTTCCTCTTCCTCTTCCACGTCCACGTCCTCGTCCTCGTCCACGTCCTTGTCCTCGACCACGGATGTTTTCTCTGTCATATATGTTTAATAATCGCATTCTATGCGTCTGGCGACGTAATTCACCATCCGCAACTATCTCTCTTAATCTTCGTACTTCTTCGGTTAGCTGTTCAAGTGTTGGTGGTGGCTATAAAAGAAAATAAATATATACATATAAATATATAAATATAAAAGATATTACATACATATATTGTTTTACAAATAGTTATGTTTTAAAATAAAGTTGTATTAAATATATGATTATTCATTGTATAGTTACATAATATTGAAATATTATCATTACCTTGTTCAATTGAGCAGGTTTGATTCGATTACATAATGTAGTGTTTGGCTGTATTGGCTGTAATGGTTGCGGTGTTGTTTCTTTACTACTCGATGGTTGTGGCTGTGATGTTGACGGCTGCGGTGTTTTTTTAAGGATTTTGCAGGATGGTTCTGCAGGATTTTCAACTTCGGTTTCTACAATTATTTCTGTTGGAGAATTATTTTCTTTTAATGCCATACATTTCAGTAATTGTCGACGTTTGGCTTTTGTTTTTTGGCGAGAACGCCATAATTGACTTCGTCTACTTGACTTGTGCTTATCTACAATAATAACAAAAATACGCGATCTCTAGAGTATATAAATAAAATTATAATAGAATATAATACGTATGTGTGTACACATGCTCTTTTATGTTTTGAAATAAATTATTATCAAACTTTACTAGTCGATTGCTTTTTATCTAAATATTTCTACGTATTTATGAACGTAAGAATCGATGAATTTCTAACGCCAATTTTTCGATACTTATTTAATGATAATATTAATTAAATCGATTAACTAGTCAGAAATAAAATAACAATTAATTAATAAACACTAAATAAACAATACACATTGAAAATAATTCTATGTACGAACCTTCCGCTGTATCGCTCATCGTTTCCGTAACGAAGTCTTCCTTTTCTTCACTCATTTAGCGAAATGAATAACCTGGAACAGCGCTGCTATGTCGAGCCTGCGCGCGCTAGCTTTTTTTTTCGACTTACAACACATAGATGCTCGGTTTATTCGTGTCACCTTATGCGTAAGTAGAGAAACTAAGGTTTGCGCGCGCAGGCCCGACATAGCAGCACTAATCTAAAGTCGCTACTCTGGTTGGTTACTATTTCCTAAATTCCGTGATACGACAATAATACGACAATAATACGACAATAATACGACAATAATACGACAATAATACGACAATAATACGACAATAATACGACAATATAATCTCATCACGTGATCGCCAGGTTCTGTCCCAGGTAAATTAGATTTGTTTCTAAGACCTAAAAGAGGACCGACGAGTGAGAAGACGTTAGACAAGTAATATCGGGAAGTCCGTTGACTTGACTACGTCGTTGAACAGTCTC